AATTATTCCAAATGATTGAAACAGGCGATCTCTTTAATATGTCTGTTCTAGCACGATCACAGTAAAATATCTTTGCGTGCCTACTATTTAGTCGAGGTACAGTAAACGGAATTGTTGCTAGCAGGAATTCACAGCTTATGTTAATATGTAGTAAATTATAAAGGAACTTTGTTGTTAGAATGATACGTCTAGTATTCAGTGAGATGAAATTGCTTTCATTGAGAAGTATAGAGTAATCAATGTTACGGTCTGGGTAAATACAAAATTTTTTCAAATATGAACATTTTAAAAATTTCCTTTGAACACGCTCTATGGAACTTATTTGGGTTGCATGATGGGGATACCATATCAATACCCCATATTCTAATTTGCTGCGCACAAAACAGTTGAATAGTAATGTCAGAGTTGCTGGATCTGCAAATTCCCTACCATTCCTTAAAATGAAGCCTAACATTTTATTAGATGAAGACACGGTACTTTGAATATGAGGATTGAATAACATCTTTTGGTCAAATAATATGCCTAGGTCGCGCATATGAGTCAAACGATTCAGGATTGTATTATTGATATTGTATGGAAACATCAATGCATTTTCTTTCTTCGAGAAGGTAACAGTTGAACATTTGTTAATATTCAACTCAAGGTGGTTTGTAGCACACCATACATGTACTGTGTTGATATCATGCTGCAATGAAATGCAATCTTGAGTTGTGAAGATACTTTGATAAATTTTCAAGTCATCGGCATATAATAGAGTGGAGCACTGAAGATCCAGTGTGAGGTCATTAATGAACAGGAGGAATAGAAAAGGCCCAAGATTAGAACCCTGTGGTTTCATTATGAAAGAGCGATATTCTTGGAATTCGACGTATTGCCGCCTATCGAAGAGATATGACTCACATGAAGACAATAGTTTAAAAGAGAATCCTAAAAAACCAAGCTTTCGCAGTAAAATTTTTAGGTCAATTCTATCGAAGGCTTTTTGTATATCCATATAAACAACATCTTGTTGTGTTGTTCAATAGATAACATACCCTTTGTTGCATTGTATATGTCTTTGTAGGGAATCATTTCGAAAAATTTCGCAAAATTACATAACACAGAAATTGATCTATAATTTTTAATTTGTGTCGAATCGCCTTTTTTGAGTATTGGTGAAATACTTGCAAGTTTCCACGTGTTAGGAAATGTGTTTGTTTCGAGCTGGAAGAGTGAAATTGTAATTTCAATTCACAATATTCAATGATATATTTGATTTTTATTTTTATTACACATTTTTATTTTGCATCCTATCTATGTGTTATGAATAAAATATATATTCTACACTTTTCCTTTGAACACGCTCTATGGAACTTATTTGGGTTGCATGATGGGGATACCATATCAATACCCCATATTCTAATTTGCTGCGCACAAAACAGTTGAATAGTAATGTCAGAGTTGCTGGATCTGCAAATTCCCTACCATTCCTTAAAATGAAGCCTAACATTTTATTAGATGAAGACACGGTACTTTGAATATGAGGATTGAATAACATCTTTTGGTCAAATAATATGCCTAGGTCGCGCATATGAGTCAAACGATTCAGGATTGTATTATTGATATTGTATGGAAACATCAATACATTTTCTTTCTTCGAGAAGGTGACAGTTGAACATTTGTTAATATTCAACTCAAGGTGGTTTGCAGCACACCATACATGTACTGTGTTGATATCATGCTGTAATGAAATGCAATCTTGAGTTGTGAAGATACTTTGATAAATTATCAAGTCATCAGCAGATAATAGAGTGGAGCACTGAAGATCCAGTGTGAAGTCATTAATGAACAGGAGGAATAGAAGAGGCCCAAGATTAGAACCCTTGGTACTCCTGAAGTTGGTGTTATTATGAAAGAGCGATATTCTTGGAATTCGACATAGTTTAAAAGAGAATCCTAAAAAACCAAGCTTTCGCAGTAAAATTTTTAGGTCAATTCTATCGAAGGCTTTTTGTATATCCATATAAACAACATCTTGTTGTGTTGTTCAATAGATAACATACCCTTTGTTGCATTGTATATGTCTTTGTAGGGAATCATTTCGAAAAATTTCGCAAAATTACATAACACAGAAATTGATCTATAATTTTTAATTTGTGTCGAATCGCCTTTTTTGAGTATTGGTGAAATACTTGCAAGTTTCCACGTGTTAGGAAATGTGTTTGTTTCGAGCTGGAAGAGTGAAATTGTAATTTCAATTCACAATATTCAATGATATATTTGATTTTTATTTTTATTACACATTTTTATTTTGCATCCTATCTATGTGTTATGAATAAAATATGTATTCTACACGTTCATGTCTATATATCTGTTAATAAATAGGCTTTTAACACGGACAGAGCAGCGATTGATGCATTATTTCCGGAAGGCATTTTTCAGTTTTTGCACCGCAAAAAAAATTGAAGATCCGGGGCTGATACTTGCTAGTTTAAAATTGATATTCTTTTACATATACAGGCCGTAGTAGTAACATTGTATAGTAACATTGTATAATAACATTGTATGGAATATAGCAATGTAGTAATATTGCTATATTCTAAACCGTAACAGATATGAAGACAACTGAGTGGGAAAAAAAGGTAACTGTCATCGGGAATAATACAATGGTCGAAGAAAATTTACGGGGACTCTCGCCTTTCTCGAGTTATACGGGGAAAACCAAAAATGCTGTTTTTCGTTTTTTTTTTCGAATGGAATTGTTATTTCGGAGAATAGAAAATGGAAATTTTATTGTATTCGAAGTGTACTATGACGATGTAATAATAAATATTCGACAAAATGTTTCGTGTCAACATGGCCACCAGCAACTTTTTTTAAAATACGGACCTGTCTTTTTTATTACAGATATTGATAAAGCAATAAATTCACAATCCAAGGGTGTACCACATTTGATATTTTTATAGCGTTTCATTTGAAATAACTACCATCATCAGTGACAACAATCAAACAGAAAAACAATTCATCATGAACTTTTGAAACGGTCTGTATATCGAAAATAATTTCTTAACTTATTATATTGAGAGGAACGATAGCCAGTTGGCGTGAGTGGATCGCTCTACTTATTCAATCGACTGCTATGTGCTATTTTGACTGCGTATTGTCCAACCCGCGCTAGGAATGACACGTTAAAAAGTAAGACCTCGTCAATCCTCCGCTCGCACAAGTTTCAACTTCTGAGGGTTGTCGTTCGTGAGGGGACGACAGCTGGTTAACGGAAAAACACATTTTCCACAGACAGAAGGTTCTTTCGAAATTCAAAATTCTAATGCCAGATCTCTGATATAATTAAACGTCATTAACCTAAGGCTCAATTTACACAAATTGGGCGTGGAGCATGCGGTCATCCTCCCACCCTCGCGACGTCTCTTTGCCGTCTCTCGTGGCGTACAAGAAGGGGCACGCCACGTGTTTCTGTGTTTTCATCCTCAAAAATTCGGGATGAAGTTGACTTCAACATACAATTTTGCGAAGAAGTTGGCAAATATCCTTGTTTATTTGATTTTTTGAATCATGCTGATTATTGAAATAGGAATGCCTGAGACCAGGCCTGGCAGAAAATTGCTGATAAATTTGGTTTTCTCCAATTAGTTGATTTTTTCCAGGCCGTCCTTCACAAAGAGCAATATTTTATGAAAGCACTCAGTAGAAATCCTTTAAAAATTCTAAAAACGTTCTTGGTACATGTTCAATTAAGAACACTAACAGATTACTGACGACATTTCTCGCCACTGTCCCGTCACTCTTTGTGCATTGCATACGTTACCGCCACGTCCGTGCCAGACGTCCGTTCAGTGTGAATTGGCCCTTAGATGTTACACTACCGGTCGTCTTTTTTCGAATGATCGATATTGGTCTGCTTCTAGGTATTTATGTTTTAAAAACGTCAATAATGTCTGCCACATTCTGAAAACAATAATTCTTCAATGAGCAGTTATCTGACATTAGGATGTTGACTACATTTGGATTTTGAGGTTAAAATGGGTTGTTCTGTTAGACATATTTCGTTCTATCATAAATAATATATACTTGAAAGTCGGAACTTGTGTAAGCTATGTATTAACGAGGTCTTACCTTTTAACTTATATTTTGTGCCGAATCGGTTTGTGAGGCCGCTTGAATTTAATTTATTGCGTGATGGTTTTAATTGAATTTTGCAATAACTCTTAAGGTAATAAATTAAATTATTTTGTGTAAAGGGACTTCATAAAGTGCATGAAATGCTAAAGGTAACTAACATACTTTTAATTTGATAAGGATTAATATCGTATCATTCTAAATAGCTTTTCAATTACCAATCACCAAATATATGAGTATATTCACAGAGTTTACTCCGATTATCATAATATTATATAGATTTGTAAAAGTGACTTAGGTCTAGTGAATCTGGGATCTTGGGCTTCATCCAAAAATGAATCTATTAGAAAATTAAGTCAAATTATCTAAGAATAATTCGTTCAGACCAGTCTCAACTCCCTACACAGTAAGGTAATGGACGGACACCTATCAGAAAATAACTACTCCCCTGGCTAATACCACGAAGGGCGTTGGATTATATCCGACAGGTGAAAGAAAGAAAATTAAGTATTTCAATCCGTGCTTGTTCTTTTCATCTAACCAAAAGTCTTTTTCATGGCTTGGCTTCAAATATTTGGAGAGTGCAATTGAAGCAGAATGACCGATTCCTCGATTTTTTGAAGTGAACTTTAATCAGTTATTCTTCAAAATAGACTGAAATTAAGCGAAATGTAAAATATTGATACTCAAGCCAATGAAATTCAAGTGGCCTAATCAACAAGTCACAAGGAAATATATTTACTTATTATTATAATTTTTTCATGTTACGCTAATCAAATTATTGTTGTTTGTACCTAGTATTTGAGTTCCCTTAAGTAAATGATAGAAATATAAGCCACCGATTATTTACAATATTTTTCATGGCATGCTTTTGAATTACTTACTAATTTACTTTTAATATTTTGTATATCAGTCTGAACACTTTTCTCAAAAAGTTTTGATTTCTTGCAATCAACGAGTGCTGGTTCAGTTTTCTTCAACAAGTATGAATTTTCGCAAGGAATCTGCGGCTTATCGTTTCGATCAGTTAAAACTTGCCTTGAAATAATTCGGATATTTTCGTTTTGCTGTAAGAATGTTAAAACATGGCTTGCCAATATGGAAAACAACTACGAGTGCAAGTTCATTCGAATTCATGTCTCAACAGTTGAATGAAGAAAAGTATGGAATAAAAATAACAAAAGGATAGTGCAATGAAGACGAAGCAACCCCAAAAAATCGCATGATAAAAAGTTTTAGAAAAAAGGAACTTAAGCACCATCTATTTTGCTTGAGAGTCAATTCTGCTTTCCCCTTTGTAAAATCTATTCGCCCAAATATATAGGATCAAAATTTTGACATATAGGGGAGCTATAATATCCCTATAGTCAGGTGGAAAAATAAATCTGCATAACAAAACCATCAAGTACCCGACATTTTGGTTTCAGAAAACAGATTTATAAATAGAAAGGAAATGAAACCACCAGACCATAATATTTTCCAGTGGTAATTTGATCCTTCTCAATCTGAAGTAGAAAATAAGTTTCAGTCTTATGCCTTCTAGGTGCTGCTTGGAAAAGTGAAAATTACCCAAGTTCAGATACAAAATATGACGCATTACCAAATATATGAAAAATTTTCATTTTCTAGAGTTATAAAGATGATAAATTCTTGTACGGCCTTTATAAAATTAATGAATTAATAATAATGTCTACATGACAGAATGGTACTGGATACAGCCTGTAAAGTCGTCAGGAGTTCGGATTCCCTTCTCTGCATGGTCCGTGACCATGAGAGAGCAGGGATTGGAGCATTTCTTTTTAGGGCAGCTGCCCAAGCAGCTGATGAACAGAGTTGTGGTCACCTCGTGACCACAACTCTGTCACCGAGTTGGAACCCGTTCAGCAAAAAGTTCAGATAAAAGCCGCAGAGATCAACTTACTTCTGCGGAGACAGAAGGATAAGCCAATGCATGGGGTCCTCTTCAATAACATTGGAGACCTTGGCTTATCAAAGTGCCTGACGTTCCCTTTTCTCAGGTCGAGTGGGCTGAAGTCGGAAACTGAGGGGTTCATAATGGCTTGCTAGGATGGTGTTTTCAACACCTTAGTCTACCGAAGTCGCGTGATGGGTATAGAGGTTCCTGACACAAGGTGCAGGGACTGCCGCGAGGCGCCCGAGACCCTAATGCACTTGCCATCAGCATATGCGGTCTCGACCTATATCCATCGACATAACGCGGCCCTCTACGGCACTCTTACGGTATTGACGAGACACCGGTGTTGCCCTACGCTTCGGGGGATATTGAATCCGCTGTGGGTGAGTATACTGTTTGGTTAAACATGGACCATATAAAGTATCAGAGTAGTTGAAGCGCGATAAAACCAGTGCATCACAAAGAATTGTTTTCGTCTGTTCAGTGAGTACGTGTATGTGTTCGTGAATAAGATTCAACGAAGAATTTGCAAGTTGTTTTTGTTTGTTTATATATTTCTCAAACCGCAAGTCAGAGTCCATTATAACTCCAAGATTTTTGCATTTATTTGTGAGTTGTAATGGAATATCATCAATCGTGATTGTAAGAGATTTACTTGTTTTCTGGCGATTTTTTTTATCCGAAAAGGATGATATTCGATTTAGTGGCATTTAGTAGTAGACAGTGATCTCTTGTCAACTCAACAAATGACTCGAGACCATTGTTAATAAGTGTACATGCGTTTTCTACACCTTGAGGGAGCTTGAGGGAGAAAGCTGTGATAGAGTTGAGTGTTATCAGCATAAAGGTGAAATTTATAGTGTTCTAGACTACGCAATATGTTTGATGAATAAATTGTAAACAAGAGTGGACCCAATATTGAAACCTGTGGCACACCTGACTTAAGTTTTATATAGTTTGAAAAGATTCCACCCTGGCACACTTTTTGTGTGCTAGGGTGTTTTTGATGTAACTACTACCCGATAATCCCATATAGATATAGTTTAAAATGGCGAGAAGTAGATCACAGTTTAGAGAATCAAAAGCTCGACTAAAATCAAGGAGTACAAGTACAGAACAAAGACCCTCATCTGTAGCCCTAATAATGTCGTCTACGACGTGCAGCAGGCCATGCAGTATACATTATTTGATTCATGTGAGATCAACATTTTATCTGTGTATGGTTATGTTACGTTCACACCCCTTGAATCAAATAATTTGTAAGGCATAACAAAATTTATATCAGAAAAGCCGTCCAGGAATTTATCACCTTGGCATAAATAGGCCATTCACCTGTTCCATTTTTTTTTTGAGGCAATTGGTAAGGAAATATACCACTAATGATTAGTATTTAAATTCATAAAAGCCATATTTGAACATTTAGCAAATTACTCCCAACCTTGGGTTATTATTTTTACTTATTCAAGATTTTCACGTGTATCACCTGAAATTCATTTTCAACTTCAGTACAATGGAAATCATACTTTTTTAAGAGATATCACATACCCTCTCAAAATGAAGCATTAGCTTGCGGTCTACAGGGTGTTTCAAATTCGATCCTCACCATTGGGATCTCGGAAACTATGAGAGTTACGAAGATGGTTAAATTAGGGCAAATTTGCGCATTTACCTGACTAACAATATGCCGTTGAGAACGTTCTAAATTTCCGAGTATGTCCGGATACATCCGGAAAAAAACAGAAATTTCAAAATTTCGGAATTTCTGGCTTTATTTTTAGAAGGATTCGAAAATAAATTGCACTTCCACGTTGCCACTTTTTCCCTGCTACATAATGGTGTTTTTAGATTTGCTATTCGACGTTTCGTCTTCTGGCCACTATTATCAACTTTATTTTTTCTTATGGGCGCTACATTGGATTCTTTCTGTTTTGAATAGAACCAGATTTTACNTCGTATTCGTAATAAATTTGTATCATATCTCTTTTTTCTTCATTCGTGAAAGCCATTTTTCGCCAAAAATTCAATGACTTTTACGATAACAAAATATCATTGAGTGTAACAGATTGAATGTCAACTTTAGAAGCATCAAAGTCAAAGTCTATTATGATAAAAATATTTTTTTTTCAGTATCTCCAATTTTTTGAAAAACAATGATAATTTATGATACATAATTGAAAACGTAAAATCTGGTTCTATTCAAAACAGAAAGAACCCAATGTAGTGTCCATAAGAAAAAATAAAGTTGATGATGGTGGCAGGAAGACGAAAGTTCGGATAGCAAATATGAAAACACCATTATGTAGCAGGGAAAAAGTGGCAATGTGGTAGTGCAATTTATTTTCGAATTCTTTGAAAAATAAAGCCAGAAAAAAATAAAAGCCATTTTCCGATTTTTTCCCCGGATATCTCCGGATATACTCGGAATTTCAGAACGTTCTCAACGGCATATTGTTAGTCAGGTAGATGCGCAACATTGCCGCAATTTAACCATCTTCGTATCTCTCATAGTTTCCGAGATCTCAATGGTGACGATCGAATTTGAAACACCCTGTATACCGTCATATTATTTGCTTTGCCACCCAAAAAACATACCGAGTTTGCCTCAGAAATCAGTCACTAGAAAGAATGCATGAATTTATGAAACGCCTACAGATTATCTGCAACCGGATAGAAGTCGGACAGGACAGTTTAAATGAGGTGATGGTACACAATCCCAAAGAAAAAAGGGAATTTGTCTCAAACTGCGGAGGAGTGGAAATGCCCCTACTCAATGGCCTACGAAATAATGTATTTGGTCATTTTGACGTAGACGGACTGTCTCCCTGTAATGGTAACTATCCTCACAAGTGGTTATGTGAGAATCAATCAGACGCTCTATTAGAGTTTGTTTGTTGGGTAGATAAGGACCCTGCTATAGGTATATGTATGCCTCTTTAGGGGCATCAGATCAGTTAAGAGAGCAGTTAGTTGACAAAGCGATAGTATTAGATAAAATCGTTGTAAATTTAGAGAATGGTGTTTTAAAGTTATACATCTTTACTGATAATTGAATTATAATACTTTTCCTTTCAGATTTTATGACGCTGCAACCATCTACAAAAACTTGATAAAATCAGTTTTGGTGGAGAGGGTGATTATTTTAGTTTAATTTAATGTCAATAATGAATTCGAATGAACTGCTAAACTCCTGTATGCAAATCTCACAAATGAGATGAAACGCATCATTTCTTACCTTAGCAAGATGCCTCAAATAGTCGGCTCGCTGTTTCTGCAAATAGTAGTTTCTTCTCTGTTCATACTCCCCCAAGCCAAGGTATGGAGCGGCGGCGACCCTTAGTTGCGGATTGTTCGGGCTGTATTCGCCGTAACGCAACATCGCACATCGGACGCTGTCATTCTGCAAGATCGAAAGCGGATAGAAGTGTAGGTTTTTTTCAGTTACATTAAGACCTTGCAAGGACATTGTAGGAATATTGGGCCCTACTGGCCGTGTAATATGTCTTCAGGCATGAGTGAACATTCGTTGATTGATCAATCAAAGGGAAGAAAAGGTATATAATAGGTAATATTAGGTTGTTTCGAATATCTCAGTGATATCTCAGTAATACTTATTCAATTCATTCGAAATGAGCGCCATTTGAATCAGTGCATTTTTGCCAACGCAATACTAGTCGATTAATGGCATCCGGATTCGATAAAGTTGACGAAGGCTGACGAAGGTTCTGCCGGTGAGAAAGTTATCGAAGTGCTTGAAAAGATGGTTTTCGGTTGGCGAAAGGTTTGGGGAGTATGGTCTGGGGAGCTCAATCCGTACAATTTTCGGACGGTGATTTGTGCCCACGGGCGTTGTCGTGGGCAGCAGTGCCAGCTGCTGCTGACGCAATTTTCGGTACATTTCGTCGATTTCCTCACAATAGTACATACAGAAACCATGATTTTTTCTGGTGGGTTTTCGCTTTTGGAAAATGCTTGGATGACTCATCGTTGTCCAACCACAGTCCAGAACTTCTCCAGTTATCATTTTTCATCACACGTGATGATCCGATTCAAAACAGGATCGTTTTGGTTTCACAAAAGCAAAGAAGAACAGATCTCGAAAGGACAATTTCCGCGTATAGTTCAAATCGTGGAACACCTTCTTTTCGACCTTTTTAGTCTTTTCACCAGGTTCCTCAAACCCTTGTCCTGGATTACTGTCAACCGCCCTACCAAAAGCATTCCGACTAATTAGTCTCACATCGTTATTCTTAAAAACCATGGAGAGACTATGTGAGCAGTACATAAGAGATGAAGTGCTAGTTCACTTCATTCAAATCAGAGATGAAGTACTAGTTCACTTCATCCAAATCAGCATGCATATACTCCGGGAAGGCCTACTGATTCTGCCCTTCACCATGTGGTTGGCAGAATCGAGAGATCATTGGACAACAAAGAATCCACAAAGAATCCAATATCGAGGAAGTGTTTGATAAAACAACCTTTCCAACAATTACCCAGCAACTACACTCCAGGAATGTACCCCTGGTAGTAGGAGAATGGATACCCAAGATGATCTCTAGTAGAGCAATAAGTATTAATGTAGAAGACATAACAGTGAAAGGACTGATCATGAGGGGATGTCCACAGGGAGGGGTCTTATCACCCCTTCTCTGGAACATAGTTCTGGACACCTTAACAAAAATGGATTCTACGCAATTTCATACGCAGATGACATAGTTATCTTGCAGACCGGCAAATTTGTAAACAGACTGTGCGATAGAGCGCAGGATGGGCTCAAATTAATAGAAATATGGTGTAAGGAACACTCACTGTCGATCAATCCCAAGAAGACTGAGAAGGTCCTTTTCACCAGGAAAAGAAGTTTAATGGGCTTAAAACCTCCCGAAATCTTCAAAAGCAAACTAAACTTCTCTGAAGAGGTAAAATACGTTGGTACTATCCTCGACAGGAAGTTAACATGGAACTCTCATCTACAGACTAGAGCATGAGTAATGTCGAAGGACACTGGGACGCGCGTGGGGTCTTTCACCCCGTGTGGTCACCTGGATCTACACTGCAATAATAAGACCTATGTTAACGTATGGAGCCATTGCATGGGGACCGAAAGTTCTACAAGCAACGGCCATCCAAAAATTATACCAAATACAGCGACTGGCTTGTTTAAACATCACAGGAGCCACGAGAACAACACCAATCGTGGCAACGAAATTAATCACGGGTCTGACCCCTCTTGATCTGTGGGCCTGTGGCGGGAAGCGCTTACTGCGCAACCTCTGCTGCACGTAACAAGCGATGCAATTGAACCCAGGTTTGTGTTTAATACACTCTACAAAATAAAAATTAAGCAGAACATAGAGTCAGATGATACAAATGCAATACGGATTTATATAGACGTCTCAAAAACCACAGAAGGCTCAGGGTGTGGAGTGTACTCCAGATCACTAAGCCTAAGAATTAAGTGGGGAATGGGAAGAAATACCAGCGTGGTCCAAACAGAACTGGCTGGTATTCAGGAAAAATCTACGCCTAACAGTAGGATTTCTGACTGGCCACTGTCAACTAAGGAAACACCTCCATAATATGGGGCTAGTGGACACACCTCTATACAGGATGTGTGAACAGGAAGATGAGTCTGTTAGGCATGTCTTGTGTGAGTGCCCGGAGTTAAGGTCAATAAGAGAGTGTGTGTTCGGCGAATCTTGGCCTACACCTGCCGATATAAGGGAGATGTCTCCCAGTGACCTGTCCATCTTCCTGGAAAGGACAGGATGGACGATGACCTAGGAGGACAACTCCTCGGAAGGATGTACAATGGGTCACATGTGGCCTAAGTACTGTGGGCTTACACTCACCCTCCCTACTCTACAGACTGAAATCTCTGGAACGAAATTTCGCAAACCAACGTCGAACAGTACGTTCATTAACACTATCATTGCCAGGTTAATTTCTGGGACTGTTTCTGCAACGCTTTGTTTCAATTTGAATTCGTAAAGAAATACTGCCCAAAAATCGCCTAACGACATTATACAGTACATTCCTTTTAAAACGAGCCACCCTTAATAACTTTAGGTACAGTGATTTTCAGGAAAAATAAAAAGCACGTCAACCATAGTATACCGGGGCACACATTTTGACATATTCACATTTTATGTTACTTCCCCTATCGCATCCCCAGAGTATGTCACCAATTTTTTTTAAGGAATCACCCTATATTATTTCGCATTATCAGATACTCCATGATGAGCAGATTTCAACAAAATAAAAAACATATGGTCTGAAGCTTATGGTTCGAGAGCTACAAATCATTCGAGTTGAAAACGAACCCTGAATACTTTTGAAGCAATGATTCACAGGAAAAATAGAAAAGCAGGTCAACAATTATATAGGAGGCTACATTTTGAAATATTCGTT